TTTTAATATTTCTCAAAAAAATTTTAGTTTTAAATCAAATTTTTTGAAATATTTGAGCTTCAATGTGATGTGGAAATTAACGCGAAAAATGTTTCAGAGAAAAATCAAGATTAATCGAGATTAATTTGAAGCTATCGTCATTTTGTACTCATTTGAAAAAAATTTAAATGGAGGTTCTATCTTGCAGGGACCCCATGAGACAAGAAATGAGTAAGAGGACTAAAATGGCGAGAAGGTGAAACTTGTGGATTGAAACGCATTCCAACACATAAACGACGTCGATTTATCAGGAGGTGAAAAAAATCAAAAGGGGCAGGACTCTGTCGAGCCCTAGACCCCCCCTATTTGCGGCCAAAATTGCAGGGGTCAGAGGTCGCAGTCTCCTTCGCCGTTCATCTCCTCCAGATCGGGTGTTCCCCACCGATCAGTCTGCGCCGTCCTTGCTTTGACCTGCAGAAAAGCAGCCACGGTTGGGAGAAAAGAGGAAGGCAATTCTTGGCATTTTGGGATCAATGGTTAGGAAAAAAGAGAGATGAAAGTAGGAGGGTAGGACAGTGAGGAATAGAAATAGGTTTAGGGTTTTTGCTTTTAAGGAATAAATAGGTTAAAACAGTGAGTTTTGAGGGGATTTTTCTGGAGAATTTCGGAGCAGCCAACAAAAAAAAAAAAGGGGAACCGATAGAGTGTGAAAGTGAGTTTTTTTTTTTTTTTTTTTTTAAATGTTATTAGATTCACAAGAGTATTTAATTGACTCAATAATTAAAATGTAAAACAAAATCATGCTTAAGATTCAAAAGACTTGGCCTTCCAAGAGAAGAATTATTATGTAGGAGAAAACTATCCTCAATATTATAAAATTCAAATTATACAATTTGATGTAATTTACATTACACAATATTTCTTTTTGCTTTTATATACTACTAAAATATTGTCAATTTTTTCACAAAAAAATGTTATCAGTCTCACGAAAGTGTTTAATTGAGTCATCTATTAAAGTAGAAGAGCTAATACTCCAAATTTAAAAAATCTGGCCTACAAAGAGAACAATTAGTACATGAGAGAGAACCATCCTCAATATTATAAGATTCAAATTATATAATTTGATATAATTTAGATAGCATAATATTTTCTTTTCCTTTTATATATTACAAAAATATTGTCAATATTTTCAAAAAAAATATTATTGATTTGACAAGAATATTTAACTAACACAACAATTAAAGTAAAAAATGAACTATACTTCAGACTCAAAAGACTTGGCTTACAAAGATTAATTGCCAACGAGCCTATAGAAAATAGTGGTTTTGACTCTTCAATTCTATAATGTAAATGCAAACTCTAACAATCACAGCAGACGAAGGCTTGATCTACAAGGACAATTATTCCATGGACCCTTATTTGGTTTCACTCTTTGAATCAATAACGTAATGCAAACCCTTTCACACTAAATGTGTGTTTGTTGGTTTAGCAATTAGAAAGTGGTAATGACTGTTTTCTTAAGAATTTTTTAACCTTAAAGCTATAATCAATACATATTTTTATATTAATTAGTATTAAAAAATTAACTTTTATTTAATTAGCTATAATATTTAATTAAAATTATTTTGTATAGTATTAGTAGTAAAAATAAAATCTACTTTTGTAGTTTTTATATAATTTAATACTAAAAAATACAATAATTATAT